GTGCGTGGGGTCAGAGGTGAGGCCGGGGATGGTGGCCGGCCTGCCCCGAGCGCCGCGACACCTGCCCGGCTACCGGAGGGACGGCGGCGGCAATCTGCCGGAGGGTGCGTAGCCGGGAGGGGCCTCTCCGCCCGTACCCGGCGGCCGCGGCGAGGGGAGAGTGGGGGGGGTCGGGCGGGGGGGTGCGGGGAGAGCGCAGCGCCAGCTGTCAGGGCCTCCGGCGCCGCTCCCCGCCCAACCGGCTGCGCGCCGGGGGCAGCTTCGGCGGGCGCTGCCGGGGCTGGGAGGAGACCCGTCCTCCTGAGGCGCTGTGGCGGGTCGCTCGCCCGCGGCACGAGCGCCGCAATGACATTTGCGTTCTTAAAGCTGTAATTTAGGGCGTGCGGTCCTAATAAATGTACTAATTAGAGGCAGCCCCCGTGATGCCCCGTGGGGGCCTTTGCTGCCGGAGCCGTGGGGCAGGGCTGCCTGAGGCCGGCGGGCAGGCCCGAGGGGGGCTAAAGGGTGTGCATTCGCTGCATGAACAAACAAATAAATAAATAGTTGAAAAGCTCATTCTCGGAAAATTACTGCATGTTTTCTTGAAATAGGTACCCTCATAAAACCTCTTAATTGGAACGCTCTGGTTCTGTGCTTGCTAAGTGCTTGAAATGAAGCAAGACCTTCTGTTGCAGAGCTTAGTACTGTTTCTGAGCACTCCGTAAGCCTGCTGAAAGGAGATTGCTTTTTTCACCTGTGTTTTTCTGGGGGTGAATGGTTTTTGATGTTGCAGGAGACCACGATGGCCCACAGGATTTTTAGAATGCATTTGCTGTTCAGCTTTCTGGCCACGTTCTTCATCTCTGCCTTAGCCGAGGAACACGTAGGAGAGAGTCAACACGCAAATATTCGCCTTGATAAGAACTTGGTACAAGATAAGGAGTATGTGTTTCACATTCTAAAATTGTAAACTTTACTTCTTAATGATCTGTGTATCTCAAGTCTTGCTATGTGAGTTGGACTTAAGCCTAGGGCACGCTCTTTTCTCAGGATGTTGTATGACTAGCTGGAGTCAGATATGAGACATGCTTGCTCAATACATTTGTAGAGATATGAGACCTGGAAAGGTCTCTCTGAAGCCTTTAGTCCTATTCATACTATAGAGAATTTCTTACAGGAATCGTGCTTACCTAGAACATACTTTAGACAAAATCATGTTCTGAACAGGTAGAGTGAGAGAGTTTTTTTCTCATTTGCTGTTTCATACAGACAAAACAGTGGTAGCAGCAAATAAAACTCCCTGAAGTACTTCATTGGAGTATGCTGGGAAAGATCTTCCTCCAGTTCCTGAGCTTTGGAAGACAGCCAAAAGGAGATTTGGGGCACTGCTTCAGTTGTTTTGATAACCTGCTAAGTAGGCCAGAAGAAATAGAAATAGCTATTCTAAGGTATTAGAGGTCACTGTAGCAAACAGCCTTTGTACCCCCTTCATCTTAGTATAAAACTGTAGCTTCTGATTGTCCTGGTTGTCCAGGGGGTGCTTTTAGAGATACGATATTTCCTGTGTGCTTGACTGT